AAAATCATACCCAACATTGGGACTGGCGTGGATAAACTCATCAGTGGCTAGAACAGGGACATCAGCAGCGGACATAGGTAATCCCATGGTGGAAGAAGCAAGGTTGCCACCAGCAGTGATTGGAGCAGCTGGTGGTGGAGGAGCATTGCCACCAGAAGAGGGTGCCTTGTAAGGAAACTTGCGGAACCCACGATGTTCACTGGTGAAATGAGCACTGGTGCCTTTGGAGAACCTTCCACAGTTGCGACAGTATTTAGCAACCACCTTCCCATCAACAGAAATGGTGTGTTGGGCATCATCGGGAATGTTCTCCCTTGGAGGCATGGAAGCAAGCTTGTCTTTGATAAGAGTTGTGAGTTTGGAGTTGGTTTCAGCACTCAGACCGTTGTCCTTGGGAGCACCTCGCTTGGGACATGCTGGATCGTTTCTATGATGATCAGTAGCTCCACAATCAAAGCAGGCGCCTCCACGAGGACGGGTACCGCCACTGGCTGATCCACTGTTTCGATCCTGGGTGAGACTCCCAACTTTTGCCTCAACTGCTTTGTCAATTGCTGCCTGGAAGGCTTTGGCCTGGGATCCCTTGGATCCAAGATGTTGGGCAGGCTCATAAGTTTTCTGGTTGATGAGGACCCGATAGAGGGCATCCAAGTCATTCAAAGTGTCGAGTGCTTCCAATTGTTTGTTCCCATAGTTGCTATCAAATCCGTTGATGTCACTCTTGACAACAAGCTCATGGACTTTGGATCGAAAGTATGGACAACCACAGCCAAGGAGACCCCTCAGGGATGTGCTGGTTAGTTCAGGCATGGGATCACTGGACATAAAGTTCAATCGAATCTCTTTGATGAGCTTGCTTGCATCGACAACATACATGGACACATTTTCCCCAGGGAACTTGGTGATGTCCAAGTGAAGAAGCTTGGCTTTGAGGGTCTCAATCTTGCTGAGAGAAGGTCGGTATATCTTCTGCAGAAGAGCCAAGAGAAGCTGGGGCCCATTGTGCTTGGCTCGAGGGACATATGATTTCAATTCTTCCTGGAGTGCATCAGTGCAAGAGTTCAAGACAGCCTTTCCCGACCAGGCAAGGTTGGTTAGATCATACTGGCAAACAGGATGTTGCTGCAGATCCCCATTGGCATCGATGAGTCTGACCCCATTGACTGTGAGGTCCTGATGCCATTTTTCCATCATAGACTCTGAGACCTGTCCAGGAGCAGTGAACATGTTGATTTTATTAATAGTGTTAGTATTAAGGTCTCCAACAACAAGCTGGAAGACCCCTTCCATTCCATGCTCTGTCATCATACTCTCAAAGGCGATAAGAGAGGCTAGCACATGAGACCCAGAGGCATTTGACTCAGTCAAAGTCGAGAATAGGAGACTGGGGGAATCCTTCAGTCCTTTCTTGCATGCCAATTCAATGGGCTGGAGTGTAGTGTGATGTTTTAGATGGTCGTCTCCATGAAAACCCCTGAGGCATAGGGTGCTTTGAGGTTCCTTTCCCAGTCCATCTGAGCCAGATCCTGTCCAGGCTCCAGTGTGGTTGATACCTCCAAGCCGAGGGGCTTCTGTAAGCTTGGTCTTCTCTTTGGTTTTCCCAATGTGCTGGAGGAGCTCCTGGAATTGAACTGCGGTCAATGGTGCAGTAGTCATGGTTGGAGGATCAGATGGTGGGATGATTGGATCAGATTCAAAGAAGGCTTGTCTGAAGCCTTGTGGACTGAACAAGGATGCTGATGCTGGCGCTGCTGTTGAAGATGAGGATGAGGATGCTGAGGCGGAGGAAGCGTCGTCAAGGTCCATCAAGTGAGAGGAGCGCGGTGGATCAGTCAATCGAGATCGAGGCTGGAAATCAACAACAGAGGAGCAGCAGCGGCGGTGATGGCAACAAGAGGATGAGCGGCAACAAGAGTATCCAGTCAATCGAGTCAATCGAAGATGGAGTTTATGAGCTTTGTTATCCTGCAAACGACCTGCGAGGAGCGAGTCCTTCGTTGGATCCTTCGTTGGATTTGAATTCGAACAACACGAGCGATCGATCGCTCCGTGTCGTTGTTCTCGCGTCGAAAGTAAACGACCAACTGCAAACCAGTTTAAAGCAAGCCAGTTCAAACGACCAATGCCAGTCCTGGGTAAGCAGAGACCAACCGATCGACCAGCAGCACGGATAGCAACCACACTGACAACACGAGCGATCGATCGCTCCGTGTTGTTGTTCACGTATGTGGTCATCTCCGTCGAGTTAATGAAAAAGTGAGCACTCGCACTCGAAGCACGACTCAAGTTTGAACCCATAATAGAGGGTGAAATGGCTCCCGAAGCATGACTCGAAGCCTGACACACAAGCCGAGCCTTCCATATGCAGTCGGAGCTCATTTTTCGATGAATTTTGTTAACTCGATCGCGACCTCTGCTGTTAACTCGATCGCGACCTCTGCTGTTAACTCGATCGTGACCGACGAGAGGCAAGGTGAGGTGATGCAAAGCTTTGCCGGTGATAGAGATAACAGTATTAGCCGTAACATTAGTGGCTACTGCAGCGGTCGAGATAATAGGATCCTCATTGAGATTATGATCGTCAATAGGATTAAGAAAGGTGGACTCACATAGGAGTCCATCGTATATAGGATCCTCATCGCGATTTCGATCGACGACAGGAGATGGGAGATTGCTTACGAGCGAATCCAGCAGGTTGACAAGGGGATTGCTTGCGAGCGAATCCAAGGGAATTAAGTTGCAATAAGGGGAAGGACTACCGATGAAGATAATGAGAGGAAACTCAGGACTCTGCATCAAGGGATAGCTCATTCCATTGACAACCATAAGGGATAGACATATAAGAACAAGAATGAGTAACATCTCATAACCTCGCATGCTACCATGCGACAATACCATTGTGCATTGACTAGTCTAGGGATCTAAGAGATGTAAAGTTTGTATTTCCAAATAAGTGAGCAGTTATTGATTATTTTCTAGAATAAGCCTGCTAATTGTAAAGCTGTAAAGCTGAATTGTAAGCTGTCGATAGATGTATAGGCTACCAGAAGGTATCCCAGGTGGGTGCACGTAGTCGCAAGAAATGGCCATTTGGAAACTTTGAACTGGGCCAGAACAGAGGTATATTTAGGCTATTGGGGCACTGGTGTTATCAGGGCTACTTCTTTAGATGGCCATTCGGATATGGTTTCATGCGAACGCGCTATATTAGGTGTCCAGAGAGATGAAAACAGCCAGTTCTATGTGTCCGTTCTGCTTGACTCTCCATGATACTGATACGATAGCAATCTCCACAAGAATGTAGAGATTTCTGCTGTACTCCTTTTAGTTGCTCTGCCTTCTATCAATCTGGGCAGCAACAACAACAACAGCAGCTGCATCGGGCACACCGCGAAAGGGCACTGCGTTGGCTGGCTGGCAAGCTCAAAAAAAGAGTCCAGGACCGCCACCCACAATGTGCACGGAGTCATCACCAACAGGCAAGTCCAGCCCGTCAAATCGGCGCAAGTGTACTGATCGATGGATGACGGTAACCATTGATGGTGTGGTCCGAAAAATATGTTTGTTGTGCCCACATGGAAAGGGTCCCAAATGTCGCCGCACATCGTCACCCAGGCTGCCTCCTTGTTCTGGACCTGATCGTAATTTGTGACTGGAGAGTGATGAAAGGTACGCTGTACCCCGTTATTGCCGGCGTTTTCATCCACAGCAAGCGATGGAATCCTGCAACTCCACAGCGGTCTTGTAGCCGGGTCCGTCAATGCGCATGCACCAGGGAGTAACCCGTACCAGTATGAGGCAAGTCGTCTTCGTGCGTTTGTTCGTAGGACGTGGGAGGGTTGGGGCTTACGAATATACCTGGGAAGCCCTCACGATTGTCACCATCCTGGAAAAGATGGGTTTGATGGATATCATGTTTATTTGGTTTGTTCGTTGCAGAAGATGCGATCTTGATTTTGTGACCTTCCTGAACAAGACGTGGAGGAAACAAAAGGAACTGCAAAAGCATCTCCGCCCTAGCTATACTGTATGAATTCTAGCTAGCTAGCTAGCCTTGTCAATGGGGCGGAGCAGAGCAGTCAAAATCAATCATTAGTATAGTGCTAGTTCGAGGAAGTGTACAAAACATGTACAAATCATTTGCTTCCTAGGACACGTCCCGGGGGAAGATATCTTTGATGAGGATGGCGTGGGAATCAATACTCAGTCAAGTTCAGAAGCCAGAGAAGGCTTTTAGTGTACCGGTACCTATGTCGCGTGTTTCAATCTCCAAATAATGGCCACGGCCATTATGAGTCGACCACCGGATTTAAGGTGACGGAACATGAAAAATCATGATTGTTAAGTATTTGGATCAACTAGATTTTCATTCGTTGACGATATTAATAGTGAAGCCTTATCCCAAAGCAGCGCGTCGTATCCGTGATTGACACAGTCTGACACTTAAAGACTGACACTTCTTTTCGCTGGGACTGGGGTTTATCGACCACACAAAAACCTCACAACTAAACCTCACAAATAAACCTCACAACGTCCCAACATGACTTCGCCTTGAAAGCCTCACAAAAACCAATCATCGCAAAGGAACCTTTTCGACTAAAAATTACCCTCAAAAATCCCCACCATGAACTCTCTGCGTTTTCTCATCGTCTTGGCTTTGCTTGCCGTGTCATCTGTGCTTGCCGAGAAACCAGGTACCAGAGGCCTCCAAGGCGTTGGCAACTGCCCCGACACTGCTCCCGACTTTGGACAGAAATGCCGAGCAGGGCTTCAGTGCAACTATGGCTACCTTGACTTTCCCGTGAACTCGAATGGAGTTTGCGCCGAGCCATTCACTTGCAGCCCCACAGTGTTTTGCGAATGCACTGCAGACAAGACGTATATTTGTGCCTACGCTTCCATTGCGGCTTGTGAGAATGAGTTGGAAGGAGCTTTTGCCTCCTGTGTGCCTTAAAATTAAGTGCAGATCCTTGTTGCGGAATTCGGACAAGAGAATGATTGTGTTTCTATCTGCCCCGGAAAACCCGTAAGTGTGAACAATGATTCAACGAGACGACTTGGCGCTACCCACCTGCATGGCCACACCGCATGCCACTTCCACTCTTTTGCGCTCGGCTACATCTATAGCTATAAATTTATAATATCCCGTCAGTTGTCCTAATGATAGTTGCTTCTAAGATGGTCCACACTTGTACTAGTAGCTAACTAACAGGTACGAGTACTAGCTAGTACCAAACAGCAGACAGTCTGGTGGCTACGTGGCTACCGTGGCCTGGTGTCTGTAGGCATTGGTCATGAGAGCAAAGGAGCATGGTCCCGAGCATTCGTGATTGTTGTACCGGTGGCTTACCGGGACTGGTACAGTATCGAGAACCCTTATTAGAACTCGGAAAACGCGACCGTACATCCCCTTTTTCCGAGCATCTCATTTTTAGCACTGACACCAACAGTCTCATTTTTCTAATTCAAGCGGAACCGACGAAAACCAGAAGCTTTTTAAAAGGGAAAACCGGTTAACCATGAAGTACTTGCGCTTGTTGTTGTTCCGGCCTTGTTGTTGGCTGTATCTACCATTGCCACCGACAGCAATAACGAAGCATCCCTCCGAGGACGCTCCCTCCAAGGCCTGGCGCTAGGACAATGCCCCGACGAACCACCCTTCGGCGGGGGCCGTTGCCGCCCGAACATCTCTTGCGACTATGGTTACATCAATTTCCCTGTGTACAATGATGATGGAAGTTGCTCGGAACCTTTCACCTGTAATCCAAATACATTCTGCAGTTGCTTCGACAAGAACTACGTTTGTGCGCAGGCTTCTGTTGCGGCTTGTTCGAACGCGGATGAATTGCCAGGACTGTACGCCCCATGCGCACCCTAGAAGAAGACGCTTGCAAGGCCTTTCGGCTGAGAACAAGATTGCCTCACTTTCGTTGAATTGTTGGTGCTACACTTAGTGGGAAGGAGCATTGTGGCTTGTCTGTATGCCACGGCAAAATAAAAACGAAGAAATGGACTGCATGCGATCGGTACAAGTCCAGGTCAAGGAGCACCTGGAAGCTGGGCTTCGTACCAAGAAAGATCGAGTCATCTACGTTGTGGCTAGATGATATCTATATATAGCATAATTGGATCGATTTTCTCAAGTATACAACCCGATAGTTACATTGTGACGTGGTGTGGAACTTACGTTCCCTTTGTGTATTCTACGCTTGGCTGCAGTGTGTGGTCCCGGTTGCATTGTTCAGTAAGCGGCGCCCTGTAAGGCTATAATCTAGAAGGATTTAGTTTCCAACTTCTTCGAGATTCCATTTCAGAGCTATATACTACTAGATGGCTTCGACTGGATGCTTCCCCCCACCACCAAACAATTACTCAAGAAGTATTTGGGTGGGAGTGGGCTTTGAATTGGCACATCGTTAAGGAGCGACGAAGCATCTCCCTACTCAAAAAAACTCATCTTCTCGTTTCCTCTGAAAAGTCAGGGCGAATTTCTACAGTAGCTATCAAATCAGAACCCTTGCAACCTCGGCTTTTAGACAAAAGAAGGTTGAGGGCACTGCAGCCAACGGCTCGTTTGGCTAGTACCAGTATAATGCTGGCGCCAAAGCAACCACAGATTATATCCACAGTCATGAAGCTAGGTAGGCAAGCTTTGCATGCAATGACATTCTGGGACACCTACAGGGCTATTGTCTACCCCTGTCTACACTATGACCGGAGCTACGAGCTAGGAGTACTTAGTGGTTTGGGCTTAACAGGCTATAGAGCTATTGGTGATACTATTGCTTTGGGCCTAACCCAAGCTGTGTTTGAGTGTGAGTGGTGGCATTGGCCACACTCATACAGCTGTGTGAACTCTTTACAACAACAAAAGGGTAAGGTGGGTCAGGGAAAGCGAAAACATGAGCAATGCACTTGTGTAGCTCCAGTAACCACCTGTAGGTGACTTTTGTCATTGCTCTGGTGTGCTGGAAGAGGAATTGCTCTAGAGGCCATCAGCAGAAACAACAAAGGGGGTGAAGTGTTGGCGTTGTGTGCAGTGCATGAGGCAAACAAGGCCAAGTCAATGCATGCCTTTAGCCTCACACCTGCTCCAGGTTTAAGCTACCGAAATGTGAGGCAAGCACTCGACGACAGCCAAATTGACGTGTCTTCTTTTTCAGGATTTGGGTCCTGGTTGGTGATTGCCAATGGGTTCTGCAATACTCTTTCCCTCTCTGAACAAGTTAACTGATCTTGGCGATTCTGTAACCCCACAGCCACAACTTTTGGTCTTGTAAACTTGGTCAATGGTTTCCATATTAGTAGCCCTAATTGTACCACTCTAGCCCCCCATTTTCCGTCTTGTTCATTTCAGTGCTCAGTTCTCAGGCATTTGAGATCAGCTCTGACTATGGAGCCTTTTCTACCAGGGCTCGACAGAGACAGCAGTGTTGATCCTCTTCCTATCACTGATACAGCATTCACAGACATGAACACTGCAGACATTCAGGGAGTGTGTGATCTTCTGGCTCTTGATACCACATCATCCGAAGTCTTTCTGGCTCGAGAATCGGGTGTTCAAAGAGACAAGACGTTTCAGGAAGCAGGTCTTTCCTTGGATCGTTTCCCTCAGTCTTCTGATGAGGCAGACTTGGTTGATAGGCTCTTGGCCGATGAAATTGAGAAGCTGTCGTTAGAAGAGAAGGAGCGAAGTACTTTTGACTTATATGGAATGACCCAAGAAACCAAGGATCCTGAGGATGTTGATGCTCTGCTAGAGCAAATGGAGCTGGAAATTCGAAAGATACCAGACCGAAAAGCATATGAAAAAGCCAAGTATATGAACGAAGAATATGTGATGGAAAAGGATTTCCGGCTTCTGTTTCTTCATTGTGATGAGTTTGATGCCAAGTCTGCGGCACAACGAATTGTGCAACATTTTGAGGTCAAACGTGAGCTGTTTGGTGATGGACCTGCCTTGGCCAGAAAACTACTCATGAGTGATCTTAGTGAAGACGACATGAAGTTTCTCACCTCAGGAGTCCGGCAGCTCTTGCCTGTGCGTGATGCTGCTGGCCGTCTGGTATATGTAATGTGCCCTGGCTTCAGGGACAGCTCTGTAGCATTGGATTCTCAGGTTAGTAGTTCTACCGGTAGAGCTATTCTACAATGTTGTGCTCATCACATTTTGTGTCTAAATGCTATCTTTTGCCTTCCTTGTTGATCCAACTACTCATAGCTGCGTGCCGAAATATACTTTGGAATGAGCATTCTCCAAACTGAGGATGCACAAAGGAATGGAGGCATAGTTTTGGTAATCTCCCTTCTTGGAGAATCACTGCTCAATCTACAACAACAACTGTTTCTCAAACTTAAGCGATTGAAGAAGCTAAGGTCAGGGGGGTTGATAAAGGTGGCTGGTGTCCATTTCCTATTGAGCCAAGACTATCTTCGTCCTTTGGTTGGTGGGATCCGATGGTTATTCCCGGAGAAACTGAGAGCAAAAATACGTGTCCACTTTGGGGACTTTGATCAGCTCAAATTTGCATTACAGACTTTTGGCATCCCAACTGATTGTCTCCCATTCCATCCAGACAAACCCATTAATCTGAAGAATCATGATCAATGGATTCGGAGCTGGCGCAAGCAGGAAGAAAAAGGCAACAATCATACATCTGATATCATTGTCCCCCGTCGATTTGATGTCCTCCTTGGGCGAGGACGTCGTACCAGGCATCACACGGGCAATGTGAGAGCTGGGCATATCGCTGACATGTTTCGAGACAAGTATGAGACCGCTGGGAGATATGAAAAGACAGCAATCGCTGAACGAATTGTCACAATTATTCGAGAATCGCATGGCCGGTTTTTGAAGTGGGAAGACGATGCATGGGAAGTAGTGGACCAACAAGCTGCAAGGAACAAGGTTTGTACAAAAAATGAATCCAACTCTTGGCACGGAGATAAATTTTTGCTGATCTTCCTCACCCATTCCTTTCCTTGCTTGTAGATTTCCCACTTCTATAGAAACACACGCAAAAAAGACCCCCCCACCAAAAGCAAGGCATCCCCGTCTGATGGCTCTAGCTCAGAGGGAGAGACACTGGCTTCAGCTGTGTCCAAGCGGGCGCAACCAAACTCAACGCAACAATCAGCAGAGCGAGTTCAGAAGCGGCACCAACGGGATACCTAACTCAAATGGGCTGTCAATAGGTGGATTACGGGCTGTTAGCGGGCCTATTGCTGCTTTGCGGGAGCCAATCTCCGGTATACGGTATACCGGTATGGTGCCCCCTGCTGGACCATCTGTTTGTGAGATTGCCAATAAGGGATCTGTTTAGCTTTCAGGCGGCAGCTAATGTAAGCCGTAACTTCCTGCAGGTTTCAGAGTTGTAGACATGTGATGTTGATTGGTGTCAGCTGAAGCTGATGTGCACTCTTAATATTAATTGAATAAAAAGGCTACTGTATGATAGCTAGCAGTTTTCGCAGCTCCTTGCCATTATTACAGCACCCACCACCACAGTATTGCCAGCGCTGCCAGGGACATACTCCTCCTAGTAGTACCACTACTGCTGCTGCTGCTGCTGCTGCTGCTGCCGTCGCTACCAAGACCCTCATCGGCCGCGTCAACTGCGGGTTCTGGCAATACTTGATTCGTAACATTGATCCCGGACTTGGGTGCCACGGCCTGCGCCAGTATTCCAAAGAATCCAAAGGGTCCCCCTCCTTGCTGTGCGACTCGAAAGTATCCCGCCTCACCCCAGTCGGTTCCCCACGAGTTTTTGATGCGAAAGTAGGGTATAGGAGCCGTGTCATTGTATCCGACCTATACCGTACCAGAGAGTATACCGGTACACGACAATAATGCATCCACGACGATAAACAAAAACGTGTGTGAGAGAGAACATGCTTCCAGCCACACGATTCCACGTTTTCCCCTTTTTTCTAGAACTGGGCAGAACAGTACGCACCATGAGTATGGCATGATCCAAACAGGACGAAATGTTACTTTCGTCGCAGGCACATCCCGTGTCCATGGTGAGTACTCCGGAATGATAATGGGTAATGATATCGCATTGGGCATTCATGGCAATGGCGACGGGTTGTTTGGCCACGGCTTGTTTCATCAAGACGGCTCTGGGAGTATCGCCCTGATTCGTATTGTCAATGGAAATGGGCAAGACCGATCCTGCTACCGTAACGGCCAATCCAGTGGCATTGGCGTGACACGTGGTGGTGGTGGTGCCCCCGAAATCCGTGTACGGATACGTGTCGTCGGCTTCGACTCCACCAATGCTATTGGCCGAACTGCCAGTGGCGTATTGGAGTGCAGCGGTATTGGATCCATCGGAACATCCGTCGTTGCCGGAATCACAGGAAATGAATTGTTGAAAGGAGAGACTTTGTAGATATTGATAGTTGGTGTCAATGGCCGTAATGCCTTCCATGGCGGCGGCGGCGGTGATGGCCCAACAGCATCCACAGTGTCCCTGATCTTTGACGTACGTGACGGCGCCGTTGGCTTCCCAATCGACCGAGTCGGGCAAGTCAGTCGTAGCCGTTGGTGGTCCTGTTGTGGAATCACCGGTACTACTGGAAGCTGTTGTGGCGGTAGAAGCAGCATTGGTCTGATGCAACAAGTCTTGTTCATCTTGTCCTGGAGTATCTCCCAATTTGAGTCCATTTCGTTGTTTTCGTTCCTCTATTGTCAATGTAGAATACTTGTTGAGTGACAACTGGAAATCGATCGTCATTGGATTGAGTTCGGCAATGGCACGAGCCGATGCTGCCAACTGCGCTTGTCGCTCTTCCGCTGTAAGCGTGGCACCATCGGGATACGTAATGTTGTGAAAGAGTTCAAATTCCTCCACTTCTAGTTGTTCCACGATATTGCTGGCTTCGTCTTGGCAGTTGATTTCCTCTTGGCTGGTCAAAAAACCATACTGATCCAACAACTCACAGGCAGATTCTACTTCAATAGTAGTGGTAGTAGTGTCATTGTTGTTGGATTGACTCAACACTTCTGCTATTGGTAGTACATGTAGTAGACACAGCAACAGCAAAGACGAGGCAGAAACAGAACTCATGTCAGTGGAAGTTTACAAGATGTGTGGTACTGTAGAGCAATAGACAGAACCATACCACAGTTGTGATCGATGCATGCATGGTCGATGGAACGGATCAAGACAAAATATTGTTGATGGGTAATGAAACGGACAAGCTGGCTGACGTCAGTGCGCCAAAAAGATTTGAGTGCACCAGTTTTAGACGCCACATGGCACATGTTTACCGGGTTGTTAAATCCTTATTCACAAGGTCAGTACTTTAATCCATGTTTGCCAGCTGATAGTCATGATTCAAGATCGCATTAACTAACTCCCTTCCCTTGGGATTTCTGGATGGTTCCTTCCTGTACCGGTTCCAGTGAGCTTACCACTGCCATGCCCGAAAGCGCTACCGTACAGTACCATTCAACCCGGACCTGGATACTGAAAGATACTCACTTTTCTCCACGATTCAAAAGCACAGCAAAAAGCTTCCACCAAAGATTCTCACAATTTTTCTTTCAGAACAGCAACCACCATCACCATGAAGGCCAGCAATACTACTACGAAGAGCACCCTTAGTAGTTCGTCCAGTACCATTACTGCTTCTACATCCTCTATTGCTACGTCTTCATCAGTCCAAGAACGATGGAGTGAAGCCAACATTGCCTCGACGGTTCAACTGTGGAAATTTGACACACGGCAAGAATCCATTTTGCGGCAACTCCAGCCGCTTTTAAAGGATATCGATCATTGGAAGAATGATCCACACGAAGTGGCGCGGTACATGAAGGACTTTTACAAACTGTCGGTACCCAAAATGGCAGACAAGTTTCGTCACATGGTGGAATGGCGGATTTCCGAACGCATGGATACCTTTTGTGCATCCTACTATGGACATCCACCGCCGCCCATTTTCAGCTACTTTCCCATTTTTCTATTGGGCGGGTACGACTACGAAGGAGATCCCATTTACATGATTCGACCGGGAGTCCTGGATGCCCAAGGACTCTTATCCTTAACATCGGCCAAGGATATTTTGGACTATGTCAAGTTTCTTCAAGAAGTCACGTTGACACGGTACACTCCAGGCATTCCCAAGCATTGGAATTGGCAAACCGAACATTACGAGAAAACACATGGTGGAAAACGCTTTACGCAATTCACTGTCATTGTCGATTTGCAGGGCTTGGGGCGACGTCATTTGCGAGGCAGTTTCTTTGGCGTTCTCCAACAAATTACGAGAATCGGACAAGACTATTATGCCGGAGTCCGCAAACGCATCTTGATTGTACGAGCTCCTCGCATCTTTCAACTGGTATGGAACGTCGTCAAGGTCTTTTTGGACGAACACGTTCACGAACTCATTTCCATTTCCACACCGGCGGACTATCATCAAGTCTGTGACCGATATCTCGATCGCAAAATTTTGCCACCGGAAATGGGAGGACAAGGACGGGCCATGCCGGGGTTCTTTCACGAATTCATTCGCATGAATGGAGGCATGATCCCCAAAGACGTTGGTACCAAAAGGTCGGGGCCGTTTGCAAAGGGTGCTCTCACCACCAGTCCAACGTTTGACATGTCCGACGATGACGACAACAACGAGCCATTTACAGCTCCCACTACTACTGCGATTGCTGTCAAGTCATTGCTCCGAGGACACTTTGACGTATCGTCCATAACCAACGAGGTAACGACAGTCTCCCTGGCGGGGAAACGGACGCGACCAGAGACAATCAACTATTCCGCGAGAATCTGATAGTACTACCTGGCAAATCCACGTAAAGCGTTGTGCTCTCAGCTTGGGGAATACAATTTTGTTTCTATTAGCCTCTACGATTGATCATTCTTCTATTACCTCGGCAGGTTAACTGCCTGAGTCCTCTACCCCTTTAATGGCAAATGTTCTGTCTGTGGGATCCCCCTGGTTTTTGTCTGTGGGATCCCCTCGTTTTGTGTCTGTGGGATCCCCTATCCCAGTGAAGCCAGGGTATAAGGATAGAGATAATGTAAGCTGGCAAAACTGGAAATTGAAGGTTCAATAAAAGTTAGGGGTAGGAATATATCAATGTAATTTAAGGTTAGTGCACTCAGGACAAAAACACAATAAGCCAGCAGGTGTTGTAAATTTAGAGTTACACGATCGAATGATAGCTGTAAATTATGGGTTAGCCCGTGGCTACACCAATGCTAGCTTAATATAAAACAGAAGGTTACAATGAGGGAATGATAGTGGGCGGCAACACACGACGAAGTCGGGTGTTGTCGCCAGGGCTAGCATACATAAAAAAGAAGGTTATAATGAGGGAATGATGCCGGGCGGCAACACACGACGAAGTCGCGTGTTGTCGCCAGGGCTACCTTGAAAGAAGGATGCAATTTCAAACATGATCCTCTTTCTTCTATTTGTCTTTCTGCTGAGGTATCGCAGCTCCCGCTGACTTATTAAATTCCTCAGAACGACAGTTTCGTTGCGCTTTCGTTGCATTTGTTCTCCTTGGTCAAACATCAATTTGCCTCTTCTAAGAGCTCGTGCGTCTTCGGGGGAGTGACGAGCCTCGTCCTTGTGTTCGGTGCTGCCCGGCTTCCGTAGATAACTTCCATACTCTAGCCAGCTAGACCCTTCTTCCGGTGATACCGTGTCTCGAGCGTACAGAAACTCTAGTTAGTTTAGCTCAGAGATTTTAGTTTAGTTGGCCGAAATCTTAGTTTAGAATCAGGACTGAAATACCCACCTCTTCGACCGTCCGATTTGAACACGGGATGCCCATAATGATATGGTAGGCGCTACGGTATGTAGAGGGCACAGGGCCAAGTGTTGGTCCTGGCCGCACTGGGACATTCGTGGTCTTGTAGTTTTTCGATCTGTGGTCCATAAAACCTGACGCTCCATCCGCTCATATAGTCTGAATGGATTTACCGCTCGCCCGCCTGGATTTGCGTTTGCCCTTGCTCCCGATCCTCAACTTGGCCAAACTCTTGCCTTTGATGACGAGGAGACCCTGGGCTTCCTTCTTCATTGCCTTTTTCAGGTTTTGAAACACAATATTGGCGGAATCAGAACCTGGGCCTTGCACTTTTTCGTAGATTGCCAGGGCATTACGGTACGCCTCCGCAGCACCAGAGTAGTCAGCCGTGTCCAACAAGGCGTTGCCAACACGACTGTACGATTCTGCCATCGTGACAGAATCCTCTCCCAGGAGCTCTTTGCGGATTGTCAACATGGATTGAAACGCTTCCTTGCCGGCGTGAAATTCGCCCTTTTCGTACAGTAGATCCCCAATCTTTTCATGGGCATCGGCAACGAACAAGTCATGCTGGCCCAAAGCTGCAGTCTTGAATCGCAAAGCTTCTCGATAATACACCAAGGCAATATCCGTGTACCCTCCTTCCAAAAATGCAGCACCAAATCGATCACACGCAGAAGCTTTTTGCAAATCCGGCATATCAGGCAACAACCTTGTAACGGCAACGGCTTCTCCGTAGGCGTACTGAGCAAACTTGAGATTGTCGTCCTTCAAGGCCGCAATGCCCATTCGTTCATACGTCTCGGCAATGGCGAGATGCGTGTTTCCCAGCAAGTCTTCCCGAACATCCAAGGCATTCTCGTACTCGCCGAGGGCCGCGTTACAGTCGCCATCCAAGAGGAGGGCATTGGCTAGTTTGTCGTAGAACGTTGCCGTGTCCAGACTCGGCTTGCCCGTGTCGGCCAAGGGAGCGGATAGGCAAGCCTTGTACCTGTCAATTGCCAAAGGATAGTATCCCTGATCCACCAAAATGTCACCAATGAGGCCACAAATACCTGCGGAATCCTCTGGTGAATGATACTTCTGAATGGCAAAGGCTCGTTCACAAAGTTCCATGGCACGATCGTGATCATGATTGGTTCGTGCGTCGGCAACGATGGCAAGCATGGTCTCCACCATGGAGGATATTCTGTCGGCGGCACTGATCCCTCCCGAACATACCATATCGGCGGCAGCAGATTCGACTCTTTCGTTGGATGAAAGGCCTTCTTGTACTGTTCCAAGGCTCCATCGAAATCCTGCGCATCCTTGCAAGTGTCGCCCATACAGATGCGCAAACGTGCCGTGTCGGGCCCATCGCCCAACAAGGATGCCTTGATGGCCAGCGCGATCCTATACTCCACCAAAGATTCTGTGTGGTCCCCCATAAAGTGAAGAACGTCGCCAATGGCCTCATGAGAGGCAGCGGTGTCCAAGTGCGTGGCACCCAACACGGCTTTTCGAATGACGAGCGCTTCTCGATGTTTCTCCAGTGCCCGATCATGTTCGCTATTGGAATGCCACATGCACGCCACCCGGTAGAGAGACTGTGCCGTTTCGGGATGCTTTCCCTGTACATTTTTGCGCATGCCCAGTGCCCTGCGATACAAATCCAGAGCACCGGCATGGTCCTCGTGTTGTTCCAAGATGCTGCCGCGAATCTCATGAGATCGTGCCGCTTCGACATGGTCCGTATCACCCACGACGTATTCGATGAGCGCCAATGCCATGTACGCTCGTGCCAAGGCACCGTCCTCGTCGTCTAGCTCCATGCAAATGTGGGCAATGTTGTTGTGTATTGTGGCCATGGTACGCCAAATGATGGGTTCCACCTTTTTATTGTTCTTGTTGTCCTGCTCTGCTAATACATTTTGTTTTCGCGTGTTTGGTTTGGCCAGACGTCTCTTGTGCAGTCCCAGAACGTAGTCATAATCTCGTTTGTAATCCATTCTCCCGTGTGTTTTTTGTTGTTGTTGTCGCCGTCGTAGTACATTGCCTGTGATGAACGCATATTCACTGGCGATCGCTGGATGTTTGTTCCGCAAGTACACGGCCAAGACATCAAATCCCTGTTCATAGGATGCCAACGCCTGGTCGAGTTCACCCATGGAAGTTTGGACATTGCCCACGTGACTATAACATGCTGCAATTTCATGCACTTGCGGATTGTTTTTGGCACTATGAATTTCAATGGCCTTGTTGCCCCATTCCAATGCCTCCTGTGGGTTCCGACCATTCTTGTGGAACAAGACACAGACACGACTACAGAATCTGGCGTGTGCCATGCTGCCACAGTTGTCACCAAAATAGTCTTGTAGATCTTGTCGATAGGCAATGATATCGTGCACGACGCCGTCCAACCACAACCGTAACAACTCATTGACACGTTGATTCAAGGCGGCACATCCCATTCCTTCCATGACGACTTTTAAAATGGCCGTGCGATCATTTTCCACCGATGCTTGAGCATCTTCCACACTGGTTCTGGCGAGGACTCGGAAAAAGGCATCGAGAGACTTTCCCTTGGTGCCAAAGAGATGATTGTCGAGAGAGTCCTTTTCCTTGGGTGGCATGACAATGCTCAATTGACATCCATGACTCTCGGCTGTTGTGAGCTCAAAGATGCACCAGACCTGTTTGTATAATATGATATAAAAGAACAATACAACCAACTGAAAGTTAGCCAAGATGCAGTTGTCTAGATCAGTCTGTATAAGTTTTGCAGGATGATGTACATACCCTTTGAAGATAGGTTGGACTGTGCCATGGCTGCAGTTTCAGAATCAATCAAGAAATCCATGCATAAGAGTGGACATATGTAAACGAAAACCAAGCACAATAAGTGAGATATTGTGTGTCTAGCTCCCACCAAGTCAATTGCCAGCTAGATGTCTGCATGCTGTACTAACCTGCATCATTGCGAGTATGTGTCCAATTTTGGTGACTCTTCCAAAGAAGACATCTCTAAATTCTTCAAAGGGCACGACTTCCCCGGCTTGACGATTTTCGTAGACGCGATGTTGATTGTTACAGAGACAGCAGATCCACACGTACGTGCGTCTTGGATTGCGTCGATTCTGGAAACAATACTCCGATAAAGTATCGAGGATATCCGTTAATCTATATGCCCACGAATAGCTGAGCATGTAACGGGCGGGACCCACATTGTCGCGCCCGTGGACGCAATCCACATAAGCGGCTCCGGGTCTCCCATCGTGAGGACAATCAATGTCCAATCCCTTGCTGCGAATGACACCCGGTGTGGCTTCATCCAGATTCTCAATGTCGTAGATCGTCGATTTCTTGGAGAGTCCAGGAGTCGACAGCACTTCTTGCAAAAATGTTGTCCGCAGATAATGCACACTCAGAGCCAAGGGAAGATCGTTCTTGTTCTTGTGGCCAGCAAAAGACTTTCTCTTCATCCTCCTCTTTTGTGAAGACAAGTAAGTCATGCAGCTCCACAAAAATGAAGAAAGCCGTCGTTTGGTGGCAGCAATTTGAAGCACGACTGCGGTACCATGGTACCGGTACCAAAGAGTTACTGGTGCAGGCATAAGTCCTTTCAGAGTGACTTCTATCAGTGGGGCGTTCTGTAGTGACTGCCAGAGGAAACAACGAAACGGTAATAAGTACCGGTAACAGTAGTTGAGAAGACTTAAAGACTGCCGAAAGGAAATGACGATTCGAGTCGTGGATAAATCGAATCCTAATCAATTTTTGGAAGCGTTTTCAAAAATTCATTAGAGTGCATTTTTGCGCTCTAATGAATTTTTGAAAACGCTCCCAAAAATTGATTAGGATTCTATAGAGGGTGGGGGTTCAAACCAACTCCACAACCTGAGTACGTAGTTAATTACCCAAGCCACCAGAAATTAAACTGGCACCAAATGGCCTACGTAACAAAAGCACTGTACAGGTTGCAATAGAGAGTCAAAAGGAGCCACGAACTGGATAACTGAGCTATCAACGGGGGGTTGAGAGCGTTCGCGAGTGTAACGCTAGCAAATATGAGTGTATAAGCTGTAAAGATTGTTGAAATTGGATAAAATGCATCAAAGATGGATGCATGTACGAGCTAATCCAGGAAGGTGGGAAAAGATAAAGGAAACGGTACGATTGGTTTTACATCCCAGCTGGAAACTATCGATAGGTCAGCAGCGGCGCTACACTACTACTAGCACGAGGGCCAGGCTTTTAGTAGTAAAGGTGCGTGAGTCGACAAGGTCAGAACCCAAACCAAGTGTGCTGCAGCCAAAATAATGGAGCAAGAGATATCCCCCTTGTGGGCTTTTTGCATGCTTGGACAAAAGAGGCGAACACACAATTCGTCAGAATCCAATGTGGCGGGGCGTCAGCCAGTGGCAGTGAACTCTTTGCACACATACATGACACTGTACATACACGTACATGTGAAGGGCTCATGTGATCCAGTGATGAGCTAATGTATTCAAGAGCGAAGTGGATGTCTCGGTGGTACTACCGTCTACCGTACCATGGAAATGAAGGATGCTGGCCATCTTCAGCAAAGATAAAAGTAATGGAATAGAATACATACATACCGGTACATGTAAGAGCTATGTCAGTCTCTTTCCCGACTACCTGGTACCACACCGTCGTTTGGCTTGTTACACGTGTATTTTAAAATAGCTATTCATGGTGTTCACTTTTTGATTTTCGATTACTCGGCACCAGAACTCCAGCCTGAAGGCTTGTCTCTGTCAATTGTCAATCCCAGGTAAATTATATTTAGAATACTCACTTTTTGCTGCAATTGATAAATTACTTAATTACTTACTGGGAGGTTTGTCCAAAGGAAACACATGAATCACATGAACCTTTGAATAAATCTACTGAACTTGTATGGCTTAAGTAGCGATTGCTGACTCGTCGACTTATTATTAAATGCCCCTATAGAGGCTTATCACTTCGAAGAGTGCATCGAAGACACAGAGATAGAAGCTCGCAATGCATGTTCGCATCTCCAAGGCTTATATATATGTATATCGCCAAGGTTCCGGTGTTCCCTTTCGAATTAGGAAGACTTAAGCTTGCGAAAATTTGGAATGGAAGAGGCGCACACAACTCGTGTATCGCTTCGTGAGCTTATTTATTGCTTTGTTGAGGCTTATCTCTTGGAAGAGTACACGGAATGCTCAGATGACCTATGCAGTTTTTCTATTCCAGGGATACTAGTACACTGTATGGATATTACCGTACTTACAGTCAACACTCACTAAAGTTCCACCCCCCAGCATTAAGAAAAAAATGGAACTTAGCTGAATTACGGAACTTTAGATCTTTGGAGCCCCATATCGGCCCGTTCGTGGTCTTGGGACCCACTTGGGGTGGTTCCTGTCATATTCTATTTTTATTGGTGGTAAAAGGAACTAATCTTTCATAGGGTGGAACCACATCACTTCTACATATAGTGTCTCTATTGTCGACTAGTTGTGTTACTACTAGCAAATGCTAGTAAAACGTGCTCTTTAGGCTTTGTCGAGTACCTGAGGGTGTCTGGCATGAAAGAGAAAGTTGAACTAACTTTTCATAGTATAAATGAGATTCCTAAAAAGGTATCCCAAAGTAGTCCCACATAATTCTAAGTAATTTTTAAAGAAAAATGTGACTGTTGTTGCCTCATTTTGAAAAATTCTAACTACCAGCCCAGCCTCAAACAGCCACAAAACCCATTCACCAGTCAGTCATGTTCAGTCATGAGAACTAGTGACTTAGGGGGGGGGCAGCCCTGAAAAAGTGGAACTTTGTAGAATAACGGAACTTAAAAAAACGGAACTTAAGTGAGTGTTGACTGTACTCCACTGGATTTCGACTGCACCGTCTGAGTCGAGTCAATTCAGTACCGCTGCCGTATTACATGTACCAGTTTTCAGAACATTGAGTTCTGTCCTACTCCTATATTTAGTCCTGGAGCAAACGATATTGCAGCCGGAGCATGAAGCCCGCAAACAACACTGGCAACTAGATCTAATACAGAACCCTCACTTTTCTTGTTGTCTTGGATTGATCGACCTCTTGCTCAATTGTTTAGAAGCAGGCAACAGCACTGTATGCCGATCAATCCAAGAAGAAAAGTAAAGACTTTGTTCATACAAGCTAACTAGCCAGCCGGTACGACAGCTGCTGCCATTCTTCGACAACGCGCAGTACATGCACCACAATCTACCAACAAATCATCATCATGCCTTCTACCTCCCGTCGCCCCCAACAAAAAAGCCAAGACAAGGCTGCCTTGGATCCTGATCTCTCTGTGGGTCGGCTTGTCCTCGAACGAAGCCAAAGTGACACCAAGACTGCAGAAGAAATCAAGCAGGAAGAACTGCTCAGACGAGCAGCAAGAAAAAGAAACAATTATGACTATCCCGGTGCTGTTCCAGCACCTGCAGTTGCCAGACGACCAGTCGCCAATACAAGGAAGAAAGCACTGAATGCTGTTACCGCTAAAACAGGTGGCACGAACAATACCAAGGCCCACCCCCGCAATAACGATAATCTTCGTGCTGTCCCAGCACCCGCAGTTGTTAGACGACCATATGCCAAAACAATGAAGAAAGCACTGACTGCTGTTACCACTAAAGTAGTTGGTACAAACAATACCAAGGCTCACCTTCAACCCAAAAGCCAAGAAGAGGCTGACAATGAGCCTGATCTCTCCTTGGGTCAGTTTGTCCTCGAACGAAGCCAAACAGCCACCATGACAGCGGAAAACATCAAGCAGGAAGAACTGCTCAGACGATCCACAGAAAAAAAGAACAGCAATGATAATCTTGGTGCTGTTCCAGCACCCGCAGTTGTTAGACGACCAGCGGCCAAAACAAGAAAGGCAGTTGGTGCGGACAATACCAAGGCTCACACCCAACCCAAAAGCCAAGAAGGGGCTGCCTTGGATCCTGATCTCTCTGTGGGTCGGCTTGTCCTCGAACGAAGCCAAACTGCCACCAAGACTGCCGAAGAAATCAAGCAGGAAGGACTACTCAGAGGAGCCACAGAAATACCGAACGATTTTGACTATTCTGATGCTGCTGGTGATGCTACACCTAATCCTGTGTGGAATCCAGCCACAGGCACCGAATGTGACCCTCAAACTGGGTGTCCGATTACCAAGCACAGCCTACCACCAGGCTCTGATACTCCTGGTGCATATACAGGAGTGCCTGGTGCCAACTATCAAGCCGTGGAACAAGTGAGATTGGATGTGCTGAGAGCATCTTATGAGCCAAGGCCGCACCTGCCAGCACAAGTAGAAGAGGCAGAATTTAATACTACAGAGACTCTGGAGGAGAAGATACGAATTCCTGTGTTGATTGGGGTGGCAATTGCTGTACTGGCGGTAGTTATCACTCTGGCAGTTGCCATTCCACTGGCTGGAGGAGAAAATGGAGAATCCCCCAAAATGGAAAACTACCAAGAACTGGATATGACGCTACTTCCCAATGCACCTGATTCCACCTGGGAGTCCATCATGATGGATCAAGAGTCAGCTCAATACAAAGCCTACACTTGGTTGACTCGAGATCCCAACCTACAGACATATGAAAACTGGCAAAAGGAACAGAGATTTGTTCTGGCCACCTTTTACTATGCATGTGATGGCCCTAAATGGAGGTTCAAGGATCCTCAAGCACAAAATGAGTGGCTTAGCTATGAAACCAGCGAATGTGGGTGGGGTGTCTTCAACAAAGGCCCATTATTGAATGGTGTGCGTTGTTCCACTGGTGACCGTGTGACAGAAATCAAAGTGATGGAACAGAGAGGTTTCAAGGGATCCGTTCCATTGGAATTATCATTGCTTGGAAGCTTGAAAGTATTGGACTTGTCGAAAAACATTATGGCCAACCACCTGCCAGATCTGCTGCCAATCCATGAGTCAGAGCCTTTCCAGTCCCTGGAAGTGTTTCATTGCATCAACTGTCGGCTAGTGGGAAGCCTACCTCCAGAGCTATTTGCATGGGCCAATCTCGAAAGCTTGGACCTGTCCAACAACCAAATATCTGGCCCTCTACCTGTGGAGATTGGTTCGATGACAGCTTTAGCGGAGTTAAGTCTCTGTGATACCCAACTATCCGGCACTGTCCCATCGGAGATTGGCTTACTGACATCCCTGACCTCCTTGTGGCTACATACCAACCATTTCTCTGGCAGCCTTCCTACGGAAATTGGCATGCTGTCCAGTGTGAAGGCACTGCAGCTGCGTGGCAACCAACTTTCCGGCACCATCCCATCCGAGCTGGGGTTGCTGACGATGTTGGCCAGGTTGTCTTTGTATGACAACCGCTTCTCTGGAAGTATCCCGACCAGTTCCTGTTCTAACTCGGGTTTGCGAATTTTCCTTGACTGCTACCCAGATCCATTTGCTGTGGAGTGTCCATGTGGTGCTTCTACATGTTCCTGTCAGAAAATTTATTGATTATCATTGTAATTCGCACAGGTGAGCTCTTCACAATTCAAAGCGCGATGATCAGGGCCTAAAAGAGTCAGAAGTCCTTTCAGAATTGTCTTTTAAGGGGCCGCTCTGAATATTTTGGATTACCGGTACCGTACAGAAGAGTGGACTGTAGCCTGGCCCTCGCTGGCTTCCGTAGTAACCTCCCTACTCTAAACCCCCTTATCTCCTAGCTAGCTACTAGCTAGAGTGCACTGTAGCATGCCGGTACCTATGTACTCTGTGCAGCTCTCGGTGCTGTGGTTGCCTTCCTCTTCTCAACCCTTGGGCCAGCCACACCGTAACGTACCGGTATCCCTATCCTGGATAGTGTAGTTCCCTACCGCTGGTACCAATACGTACTTTATTGCAGCTCTGCGGCTTGATTTGATGAGACAACGAGACAACAACAATAACGGAGACCCATGGGCTTTTTGCCTCAGGAATCCTATAGTCCATATGTGACACACTCATGCAATTGAGGCAACTCCTTCCACAATGGCGCTCTCCAACGATATTAGGCTCCTCTTCGCGTTGGTTCAATGGATACTACTAGTGTCGCTGTGTACTCCTCAAAATGTACATGTACCTGGTGGTTCCCAAAATATCTTTGATAGTGGTGCGGCTGCTGGGGATCAAGGACAATCAATAGAAGAAGAGTTTGCCGTGACAGGATGTTGGTTTGGTTTGGAGGTGGAAAACGAGGATTTGGTGAATCCCTTGGACAGAACTAGTAGTATGGATTCCCTTGACCGAATACATGAAATGCAGGTCTACACGTTGGCTTCCCGCATCCAGAGAATTGATGTACGTAACGGATGTTCTTATAGCCATGCAACTAGGTATACTGGCTGGGTCTCATTTTTCTTGTCGTGTCATGCAACTACTTATCTTTATATCTATAGGTATCCTACCTATTCGCTGGAGGAATCTCCAGTGCCACCTACACGGCAGGGCAAGAAGATGCCACAGCTCCAGATCCCACCAAGGTTGAGTTCCCTATTGGAGCCTGTCTGAAAGAAATGACAGTACACAGGACTCCCACTGGAGACAGAATACTAGGCTTGGCAATGAATCTCACGGACGGATCCGAGTAAGCAATGCAATGCAATAATAGTATCACTGGAATGCAAGAGATGGATACATGCCTCACATTGGTGTTGTCGTGCACAGATTTTATTTTGGACTGCTCGACATTCCTACGGCACAAGTCTCTACTTTTTCAAAGCCAGGTTATATCATCAGTGGTAAGTAAGCACGTTGTAGCTATAGCTATATAGTGGGAAGGAGATGAGCACTGGTTGGAAAAAGAGGCCTACCAGACTGACGACTCACCCTTATGCTTTTGCGTTCCACACATACAAGTCCTGGCCACGAGGGACGGTCCCGAGAACAAGTACATTAACGATCTCGGAGTGGCATACTATGCCAAGCCACGGCCTTGCGGTCCTTGTCCCATGACCTACGTTCCCGGCTCTTCCGCCTACCGACAAGAAAAATCTTCTCCACCACAATACGTTTCCGCAGTACAAATCGACACCCAAGAAAGTGACTCTTTGGCACGGTTGCAGGTAACCTACGTCTTTGATGGGCGTGAGAAGGATTCACTCCACACGGCGACGGGACAAACTGCAGGATTGGGGGACACCCCCGTGGCCGATCTCGTCTTTTATGCAGGAATCGATTCCAGCACGCGGACCGCCAAAGCATTGGATTGCGTCGACTTGTATCTGTACGTTGACAACTCGACAGTGGCCGGAATTGGATTCTGTGCCCGCGAGAGTATTCTAGATACCGCTACTAGTACAAGTGTCTGTCGGTACGTACGTGGGATCCATCAATGAGTCCATTTGCGAAAAAAAGAGGTCTCACACGCAAGCGGCCAACACCACGCACAATCGTCGTTAGTACGGATTCGGAAACCTTTGGGCCGTATGGAATCCATTCGAGGGCCAACGGGATTTCAAAAGTTTCCACTTGTTTGGATGATAATATGGAGACCGACGAACGTCGAAGGGAAACAATCTTCAGTGAGTTGCGTCAGCATAAGAATGCATCTGTGTTCAAATAGTGTGCCGCCGAGTATACTCATGCATCCTGCTTCCCTCCGTGTTCAACGCACTCTCAACCACATGGCAACACGCATTTCAAAAGTGCTATCGGATATTTTGACTGTCAACTGTCCGTCCTACATCACCATGGTCCCAGTTGCGCCACTCGTCACGCCCGATATGCAAACCGCGACGGATGGTGGATTGGTTCTCCCAGCGACGCTAACTCCCACGCAGTCACCGACCAATTCACCCGGCAATCCATATACAGTCGAACAACTGGGCGGGCTTTCCATTGAGGCATCTGGTATGGATTTGTTGGAGGGATCACCCGTCACTTTTCAGAACACTTCTTGTGCCATTCGATATCGTCATCGGCCGTGGGGAGTGGGATGCAAGTTCAACACGCAAGTCAGCTTGGGAGATGATGTTGATCCACTTCGGTTTGTACTCGAACTAGTCACGCTTTTATTCGACCCAAATGAAAGTGAAGAGGGGATCATCATGGCTGTGGATGTAGGGATGGAAATTCCTCCAATCGGTGTTGTTGGTCCATGGAAGTGGGACACAGAGAGAGTGATCGAGGTGTCGGAGAGAGTCTCGAAACGGGCATTTGCGACACCGATCTCCTGGGAGTGTGTGTGGGTCGATTTGCATGCGAGCCGAGGTCCAGTTCAACCAAGAGGCGACGGGCGCTCTGGCCAAGTTCCTCGCCACTGTGACATTGTGGGATGATTTTGGGGGGGACGGTGCTGATACGTCGCTCAGTTGTCAAACTGTCATTGATGCATTGGGCTTGACGGAACCCATCGAAATGGAGCTGGACTTGGGGAATATTACGTACGAATCTGTCACGGAGGCTCGAGATGCTGTCAAGCGACGTCCCAGTCGACGGAGGGGGGTTGATCAAGGGGATGCGATTGTCACGGACAAAGGAGAGTTTGCCTTTGGGGTAACATCGATTCCACCAAAACCAGTGGCCATTCCTCCGTCGGAGAGTACCTTTGGTCTCCCTGAGAACTACACTTTGGGTGTCAAGGACACCACATTCCAGCTGGCCTTGGTGAATACGGGTTGTGGTATTGTGACATCGGCTCAGCCTTGGTCCGTGGACTGTAATGCAACAATACGCCTTCACCATGGACAAGCACCACTTAACGGAGGGCAACCGCTGGAAATGCAAATCTTTGCGACGGGCGTGGTCGATACTCGTCCTCGCAGTCAGTACTTGCTCTCGATAAGATACGGCGTTCGAATGCCAGAGACGTCAATATCATACTCTGCCAACTCAGACCCAATATAATTCGGACCAATAGTGTATCCTGGCGGCACAGGGTACTTCTTTGCTCTCACAGAATATGACATCGAGGTTGGAGTATGCATATCAAATCTGGAAGGTTACTTTTCCCAAGTGAGCGAAGGCTCGCTACGTTCGGATCAAGTTGGTGTGGCTGCCTCCACAGTGGGTTTGGATGTTTGTTTCCAGTTGGAGGGCTCTGCTGGTGTTCAGAGCGAGTCCGAGGGGGGCCAGCTACGGTTTGTCATGGCAGCAACATTGCTAAGGAAGGAAGTAGCCCTTCCAGGCGAATTCTACGACTCCGTCATAGAGCAGGCGATTGCCGCACTTGGCCTCGACGGCCCGATATCCTTCAAATTGGACATGGGCAAACTCTTGTTGGATTCTCTGTCTGTTTTGTCTGGTTCAACGGAGGGTGGTCGCCAACTGGTGGAGAATGGACTATTGACACGAGACGGTGCATTCAACCTAGGCTCGAGGGTTGGCATGGACGAGGTCATCCCAGACCAAGATTCTTCCAGGGGTGTGTCTTTTGCTGTTTCGTTTCTTCTTCTGGTCGGTTCAGTAGTATGTCAAGCTCTCTAGTCTCTTATCGAATGAAGAAGTCTATGGGTACAAGGATGACGGTCAATCCAGTGCTAGCAAAGTTGAGAAGCGAGCTACCTACCTACCTCTTTTCTCATGCATGCTCGGTCGGACCGGTGTAAGGACCCATGTCGATGTAGCATTCAACCTACTCCAAGAAGTAGCCCACCCGAACACGGATTACGGTGGAGCCTTGGGCATTGCCACGACGAGGAAGCTTGGAGCTTCTCTCTGGGATAGCTCAGGTCTACAGGCACTTCTTTTCTTCCTGGTCGGCAGACTTAGCAGAGAGAGAGATAGAGATACTGAGAACAGGGTCAACCTACTCATTCATGCGACTTGCATTCTAAAAAGCCAAGAACCTAGACCACTGACCCTGAGGCTTCTTTCACCGGCGCTGTGGTTCCGCCTTCACTCTTGCTGAGCGAGGACGACGACAGGTGCTCTGTCACACGCACATTTGCTCGGACCAAAACGTTCTGAAACCGTGTCTCCCCGTTCTCCTGCCGTCTGGGGAACCGAAGATGCTTGCTTGGCTTCACAGCTTCACCCAAACAATGCGCAACTACAAAGCGCTTTACGCGGCTCCTTATCTGTTGTCTGTCTGGAAGATAGCTTGCTAGCACCCACAGCAAAGCATTCATGATCCATCAGCCACTTTTGAGTTGCAACCAGACAAGAACAACAATGCATCGATGCATACATTCCGACATTGGTGGTCGCCTGTTCGCTCGGGGCTAAACTGGCTCCGATTCGATTCGCTGGATTGGTATTATCAGCAGCACAATAAACCCATCTCTCTTGAAGCAAGGAACCGCTTCCATGGCGATCTCAAACTTCCCGCTAGACTAATCTACGACGAGAGCTTGGTTGATGCAAGCAGTGGGAATCGCGGGGAAAAAGACGTCCCTCGTTTCTCGCGGAAGCCACTGGTCCAACGTAAATAGGAGGTTTTCGACGGACTCGACTCGGATGAGACCGACTCTGATGCTACCGGTACAGTATTATGATACATGCCAGTCTCAACCTGACTGGTGGACTGCCGTCTGCCAACTCAACACATATCATACATGTACATGCAACGTAGTTTGTCTGGTCGCCAACCAGCACAGATCGATCGTGATTGATTTTCTTTCGACGAGACCCGAGAAGTGCGACACGCTTTTGTGATGCTTTCAATCGTCATTCAATCTCGCGGTTGGAGCCATGCAATAGTTATTTTGAGAACGCACATTCAAAATATTATGCAACGAGCCACCTTTCTCGTGGTGAATTCAATTCATTCTATTATAATGCATTCCACTTCGTACTATTGTACAGTACGTACTGTACGACCCAAGAAGTATGTATCGCTGCTATAGATACTGGTTGCCGATATGGTTGCTGTCTGTCGTTGCACATGGATTCAAGTTGCCCTTTGGTAGGCCAAAGACGCACAATGCTACAACAGAAACAGAAACAGAAACAGAAACAGCCACTGAAAAGTACGCGCTGCTAGTCGATTGGATGCGATCCAATGGAGGGCGAGTGGATGAACGGTTTGGGCTGATGACTAGGTCTAATGATAACCTGGAGGGAGCGACTGGGCGCGGTGTGGTGGCTCTACAGGACATTGCCGTTGGAACGGAGCTTCTGTTTTGCCCGTGGGATCTGGTTTTTGGAACAGTCGGTGACACGGCCAAGGTTCCTCCCGAAACAGACCCATGCGACACATTGAATGCCTACGCAGATCACGTGAGGGCCGGCAAGGACAGTTTCTGGTATCCCTACTTGTCCATGGACGACAGCCTGGACACTCGCATTCCCACAATTTGGAACTCCGCCCTCACAGAGCTGCAGGGTCTGTTGCCAGACGCGGCCCAAGGAAGCAGCATGGCCACCTGGTTTTCAAACAGCTGTGCAGGAGGCACACCGTTCGATCAGCTCGATCCTGCAGCACGTCAATCACTCCTTGCTGCCATCACCCGCTCGGCGGGCATGAGATTTCTGCCTGTGTTTGACCTAATGAACCACCACAATGGATTGTTGAATACCCGTTCCAACGCGGCCGTCGATGGGAACAGTGTCTTTGCAGCAGTGGATATTCCAAAAGGATCAGAGATATTCAACTCCTACAAAGGAGGATTGGCAACGTCGTCCGATATCTTTCGTCGCTATGGGTTTGTCGAGTCTTGGCCCCAACAGTGGACTTGGACAGATACAGATGCGATAGCAACAAGTGCGACCACAACAGAGGCCAAAGAGGAACGATTTCTCTTGCTACCTGACAATGTCGTTGTCATTTACCCACCCGCATCCATGACCGATCAAATTGGCGTCACAGCTCCTTTACCACTTGCCAATTGGCAGGCCGATTCCAAGTTGCACAATCTACAATTGGGGGCTGACAAGCTAGCAGGATTTGCAGAGTCCGCCAAACGTCTTTTGGAGTCTCTTCCCAGTACTGCCGAGGAAGACACTCTCCTTCTGGAACAACTTGAAGTGTTGGCAACGCAACGAGGACTGGTATCTTCGTCTGATCCGAGTAGCGATCGTGATGCTATACTGCTCAGTGACAGGATGAGTGCTATTGCCTACCGAATCAAGTTCAAAGACGCTGTCCAAACCGCCTTGGATGTGGCTATAGATACTAGGATTGCACACCACCAAGACATCCCCGAATTGAAGTCAGAGTTATGACACGTGGATACAATTGTTGGCAAGATCCTACGTGTTGGCTGCGCTAATAGATAGCTAGCCTACCGGTACCTTTCCACCACGCAATGTGCGGTATATCCTGTTTGTGCCAAGGGCAACATAGAAAGGATAGTTTTGCAGTTATGCATTCAGTGCATTCAAGCCAAGTACTATGGCACACCTCGCCAATGCGGTAGACGCATCTGGCAAGTGCTTTGACCCAGGCAGAAATACTAAGCTTGGAGTAGAAGAATACAAAATAAAACTATGGCATGGACGAGATCATCCCAGACCAAGATTCTTCCTGCAGCACTTTTTCAGCAATGTGTGGACGAAACGACGAATTAATCGCCCGCCTTGGCACCATGGATTAAGCGGTATTCCTCCAGACCCTGACGTTGTCTTTGGAGATCTAAGCAATGGCCTTCGATACGTTGCGCTTCAAAACAACGCAACCTTTGTCGTCTAGTCTAGAACTCAGATTGCATGTTGATGTTGGTTCATTGCACGAAGCCAACGGAGAAGAAGGCATCGCTCACTACCTAGAGCACATGGCTTTTCAATCCCTAAGAAGCTATTCTGGCGATGAACTGTTCCCTCTGATGCAAAGGTTGGGAATCGACGCCTTTGGAAAGCATTCCAATGCATACACAGATTATACCGAAACTGTCTACAGACTATCGTTGCCGGATACTGACCACGAGACAATAACGGCATGCTTCACTCTGATGCGGGACTATACAGACGGGATGTTGCTCCTGGAAAGTGAACTGGAGATCGAAATGGGAGTGGTTCTATCAGAGTTGCAAGACACGGAAACTGTCGAAGATCAGGTTTGGAAGCGTACTTTTCTTGGTCATTTCCAGATTATTTGATTTCCAAGCGCTGGCTCATCGGGCTCGAGGAATCAATTCAGAAATTTATTCGGCAGCAGTTTCTGGACTTTTACCAAGACTACTACATACCACGTCGAACGACACTGATTGTGGTAGGAGATATGAATGCGACTAGCATGGAAGATCTCATTACCAAGTTCTTTGATTCCATGGAGGACGCAGGACCGCTAGGAAAACCAGTAGAAGTGGGGAATACATCCTCAGGAAAGGGCTTGCGAACGGCCGTTTTTGAGGACGAAGGTCTTGAAGGAGACGAGCTCTACCTTGAAGTTGTCAAACCTGGTGTTGGTGCGCCCGATTCGGCGGCCGGGCGAATCGAACGAATACAGCTGCATGTCTGCAATCGTATTGCTAGTGAACGACTGCAGAGTTACGGCTACGACGACTATTCCGCCATTTCATGGGGAGGCGCCTACATTGACAGTTGGTACAATATCTTCGAACTCGGCGCCATCTGGGTCGCTCCACAGTTGGTTGGGTCTCTGTCCAGCGATTGCAACCCTCGAACAGGAGGGCCAACGGGCGCAGCTGTATGAGCTTACACAGCCAGAGATTGATCGAGCCAAGGCTGCGATAGAGAGCCGACATGAGCAAGAAGTTCTTTCTATGGGTTCCAGACTGGCTTTTGACATGGCCGATTACCTCAGTCGAACGAATACTGGATGTCTTCGATCGTGCAGCAATCCAAGGCCAAGCCTCATGTTCTTGAATGGGCGCAGTCGTTTGATGAAGATTTCAGTTCCATTCATGCTGCAGGGATCAATACACTGGTCCAGCAGTACTTGACTGCTGACAAGGCTCTTCAAATCACCATCATGCCTCAGAATGATACGGCTTTTTAGGGAGGTAAAATTCATAGATGCACCTCCAGCAAACGATTCCAGTACTGGTAGCGGTAGCCAGAGAGAGATCGACCGCGGAGCGTCGCCCGCACCCCATCTGGTTGTAGCTACTACCGGTAGTATCTCCTCAATATCTTGTTGATCTTTCTTTTCTTTTACTGGTACTGGTACTGGTACTGCACAGCTAGCTTCAAGGGCTTCCAATGATGTGTGATTGAAGTTAGTTGATGATTCAATCGATTGAGTCGAATCGAGGTTGGATCCAAACGTGATTTTGAATCCCACTCTGTTCGTAGAATTCAGCCGTGGTGTCGCCACCGCCTGTCCAAGACACGAAACATGCACAGCAAGCGGTATCGGAAGTCATACTGTGTTGTTACGCTGTGATCCCCCCTCGGAAAACGGAAACGCACTCTAGAGAGGATTAATACTGAATAGAAGAACTCCTGTAAAACACCTGGAAACACTTGAACTTCTTACAACAAAGCAAAGGGACAAAAACTCCAACCTGCCACTGGGTGCAGAAGAAGAAGCTCGATTTTGTTCTCTGTTAGCTGTTAGCAGTTAGCAAAGTTGTTACAAGGGTCTTCCAACTTCCAACCGCGCTGGCTACAGCCGTACGGTAGCTCGCGACACACTCACAACAGCTCTCACAACTCACTCATCATCATACCGCCAATAGATGCCATCTTTTCTTCGAGTCCAACTGGCTAGGTTTGCTGGGTTGAAGCACCTACATGACAATATGACAATGTCGTTGTACCTGTATTGCCAACGGTACTGGCTCACGTTTTGCAAAAAGGGAGCATGTAGCTTGCTTCCAGCAGCTCTGGAATCGAATCTGGAATAGCTTCCTTCTTGATGTTAGAGTACTACTATTAATAGCTAGTAGTACTCGAGTAGTTAGTTATTTGCTGGCGACTGGCGATGGATCTTGGTCAGTCGCAGCAAAACTAATGATCATCAATCGGTTGACCGAAGCACATTCCATTGACCTTGAGAGCTCCTTGAGTTAGTCGAATTGTTTATGAGTTAGTTACTACTGGTAGACTAGTACCCGGTACCCGGTACCCGGTACAAGTAGTGATGTAGTGATTACCATGGTACTGGAGTATGAACGGAATCGAATCTTGGCGTGTCTATGTGAAAGGCTCTATGAACTATGAACCATCGGTACTCCAGTACAAGATTTTGCTTCTGATGGGATATTATTAGCTAAAAAAGGGTACCAACTAACACAGTACTAATACAATAAATAATTTTCTCCTGCATGTGCCAGGTGTCGGGTACAGTGGTAGTTCTGTATGTTCAATTCTAGCATTGGGACATCGAATGACTGGAGGGAGACCTTTTGAAAGACCCATACCAAAGTACTGTAGAAACAGCTGTAGAGGCAGCGATACCAGTGGTTATGCCGACCGTACAAACCTACAAACTAGCAGCTACCGGTGAAGACGGACATTCCATGCATTGATTTAGTAGACGAGGTAAAACATTGATAAACATAAACTAAAATACTCCCCAGCTTTCTGATTTTGTTTTTACCTCATGCAAGAATGCCATTGATGAATCTGCAGACAACCCATTAGCTGGATTTAGAAATGACTGTGCAATAAGTGGTAATAAAATGTTAGGCCTATTATTATATTATAATGGGTGGGCTGTTGGCTTGGCTGTGCAGTGTGCTGAGTCAGTCTGGGAGTTGAACGATTGGAAGACTGCAGGATGGACCAATGAGTGTCCGGTGAGTTAACGTGGTGGCGTGCCCTGTGAATCGCAAGACGCCGCCTTTTTGTATGATCGATAGTGGGCAGTAGTGAGTTCGGTCTTGGTTGTTCCCCCAATAAAGTACTCTTTGTGAACAGTGACTGCTTTTCACTTAGCATCGGATGACTTCTAATGACCTGAAGAGTGAAACATTGTAAAACCCTGCAGTAACCAGTTTGTGAAGGTTTCTGCCACTCGTTAACTCGGTGTCCGAAATCAAGTAAGTAAGTTCTGTTGTGAAAGCAACTTTGGTGGATGATGGATTATTATTGTTGCATTATTGATCAACCAAGCGGAAGCTCAATGCCACAAATTTTGTTTCTTGTACCATCAGCGATAGCCAAACTAACAAGGTCCTCATAAAAAGCACTTTATAAAAGCACCCACTGAATCATGATGAGAACAGCACACAACCGCTCAACCACCACCACACCAAAAGCCACCACCACCATGATGAGAATACAGCGCTTTTCGCTCCTCGCAGCACTGCTCTTGTGCCTGCAATCCATTCCCGCCGTTCTGGCTCAGACATCAGGTGGGTGGGTCTAGCTAGTACTTAGCTAGCTTCGTGGCCTGGTCAACTAGCTGCCGTTGGGTTGTATGTTGTATCCTCACCTGATCTTTCTGTCGTTCTTCTATCTTAGGCACCGACTCTCCTACATCCGCTCCTTCACCTCAATTCAGCGCTGTTGCCACGGGTGACATGACCCCGCGTCCCGCTCCTACGACAAGTACCATCGCGCCAACGGTGGAGAATGGCGACGAAAAGGTCTTTTTCTCAATGGAGTACGGGTTCGTCGATGGCACTGCTCGCGAGCCAACTCAAGCCGAGTACGAAGAACTGCTATGTATCACCAACATGTACATGCAAGGCAAGGTACAAGACTACGTGGTTTCCGAGTTCAACGAAACGCGTCCCGTACAAGTCTTTGCGACCAACATTGACTGGGAGTACAAGAGTGGTGCCAACGAATCCCTCAATGTCAAGATTACCTACACGTGCGATGCTTCCTACGCCGTCAGTCGATTCCAGAGAATACCCAAGGAAATCGTCTTTGAAGCGTTTGCCTTGACGGATGAACAAGTCGCCGCGTACATTACCGATTGGGTCTGGATGGCCAATTCCCGCAATGTCTTTTACAACACGACGCGCGTCAACTACAATGTTCGACGAGAAGAACACGTCACACCGGGAAAACTCAAGGAAGTCCTCAACTGTTATCAGACCCGTCATCCCACGCTTCCTCCCATTGTCACTACGGCTCCCACCATTGCACCCTCTGCCTCCTTTAGTCCTTCTGCCGTGCCCACGGTCTCCTCGCATCCTTCCTCCGCACCCTCCATCAGCATGGCGCCTTCCACCAGTGCGGCTCCCACCGTATCTCCCGCTCCCACTGTTTCTCCCGCTCCCACGGTCAGCATGGCGCCCACGGTCACACAAACCATTGAAGCGACCGCCGTCAGCGAAATGGTCTACTTTCGCATGGACATGGAATTGGAGGGACAGCAAGAACCTACAGAAGACGACTTTTCAACACTCATGTGTCAAGTCAATCAGTTCTTTGAACGACAAGTGCAGCAGCTGGACAATACTCCCGTCAAGTCCGTCGCCACCAACATTCTCTGGTACTCTGCCACGTCCAGCACCAATGCCGGGATTACCGTCCTCTTTACTTCCGATACCGTCTACCGGGCCACACAAGAAACAGTCCCCATGTCGGTCCTTGTGGCTGCCGTGGATGGCCAAGACGAAGCACTGTTGCAATTCTTGACGGAGAATCGTGGTAATAGTGATCAACGCGTCGGTGGCGGACTTCGTCTTTCCCCCGACGGTGGTCTTCGGGCCACGGGTCTAGGCGGCGATTCACTTGCATCGGACTTGACCAGTATTTCTCTAGAGGCACTGCCCGAAGGAACACCCGTTCGCAAAGGACGACTCGATGTGGCCGCCTGTCCCAATCGCGATGCCACCCTCCCACCTTCCACTTCCACCGCTCCCACGGTGTCTCCCGCTCCCACCGTATCCCCGGAACCCTCTCGTCTGGGTGGAGGACTCAACGATCCAAATGGTAATGGCAATGGCAATGATCCCAATAATAATGGAAACGGCAACGCGGATCCCAATGGCAATGGCAGTGATCCTAATGGCAACAATGGCAGTGACCCCAACGGAAACAACAGCAATGGTCCCAATGGAAACAACAGCAATGACCCCAATGGCAATGGCTTTCCTCCTTCCGCCTTGCCCATTGAAATCAAATTTATGGTCTCCAACCTCCAGTTCATCACCGAAGCCGATGAGATTATCAACAGTGGTCTTGACAAGTCATTTCCCACGTTTGTCCAAGGTGTGGTCGAGTCGGTTGCCGACCAACAATCGCAAACACGAAGACTCCGCGGTACTCGTCGTCGGTTCTTGCAGGCGCAAGCACCAGTCTTGACTCCTGGATCGGCAGACGTCTACCAAGCCGAACGCACCGACTGTGGTCCTCACGTGCATCCCGATTTGACCTGTCATGATGTCAAGGCACGGTACTCGGTCGACTTGCCCAACGACAATGACAATGATACCAATGACGCTGAGGTGCGACGCGTCTACCAAGTGGCCACGTTGGAGGGTATGAACGATGGAACCTTTTATGGTGTCTTGAAGGAACAAGAACCCGAGACACCCATCTTTATCGGAACCATTCCTGACCCCGAAGCCATGGGCAATGGCAAGAGTGGCGTCGATGCGCTTACTACTCGAGATTGGATCTTGATTGTGGCCGTCATTTTGTTGTCCATCCTCTGCTGCTGTCTGCTCTGCTGTCTCGCGTATTATTGCTGGGATCGTCGCCGCGACGAAATGGACAAGCGACAGCGGGATGCCGAATACGACGACTACGACCGTGCCATGGTCGAACAAGAAGAAGAACTCTTGGAAGAGTTTGAAGAAGACAGTCAAGCTCCCAAGCAACAGCAGGCCAACAATACCCGTGGTCTCGATATCCCGGACGACGTTGAAAAGCCTCATCCTGATACCAGTGATTCCACCGGGGAAGAAGAAGAAGAAGAGGACCAGGAGGAGATGTGGGATGAAGGAGATCCCGAGAAACTCGAACTGGTCATTTATGATCCTTCTGCATCCAACAAGAAGAACCCCAAGCAAGAAGAAGAGGATGGTGCTCTAGTCCCGTATGGACGCCGCAAACCCAAGCGAAGAAACTCCACCAAGGACGTTTTGAATGACGACGACGACGATGAGGAGGATGTTGAGGAACACGAATTGTGGATCGTCGACATGGAAGAGAAGAATGCCAGACATGGATCTTCTCGGGGTTCCCTTGGAATCGATTAATAAAGACCTCCCTCGGAACTCTCGTCGTGTGGAACGAACGAGAGGCAAACTGATGGAGCGAAGCATTTTGTTAGTTTGTCCTGTAACAATACTGTAATTACAAACATGAATCATTACTATCACTGTGTGTTCTTACCAGCTGGCCAGCCAGCCAGACGGAGAGTCAAGAGAACGGGCAACTATGCTTGACAATTTGTTTTGCTTGATTGGAAACACCTCGAGAGAGCACATAACTGGGCTTTGGGTGTACAGGGGAGCCTGCAGCTCCCATCATAGTACCGGCACTACATCATCGTAGTGTCTCCAGTTCTGATGTGGTCCTTTCTACGTTGCTGCAGCCATGGTTGATGTCTGCAACTCGAATCGGTGAACACAGCAACAAAAACTGTGAAGGCAACGGCAACGGCAACGGCACAACAAATAAATAGATGTTCATTTCAAATTCTTTTACTAGCTAGTAGACGTGCACATCTGTACTGCCTCGGCATCAAACCATCTAATCATAATGGATCACAACATTCATGTCATCAACAGCCACAAGACCAGCATTGTTAAACTCAATGCGGCTAAGCCTGTCAAATCCATCAAGTTGAATGGTCTTGGCAGAGTCAGCTGTATATCTGTGGCTAGCAACTGCAACTCCATTTGCATCAAAGCCTGTGACAGTGACATCTTGAGGGGCGTTGAGATACCTCGGAGATGTCAAAAAGGACGTCAGAGAAATTGTAGCCCCAGCTGCTGTTGGGGAGAATGCTGCATCTGGTCCTCCCCATGCAGAGGGCCAGAGGACACCATGGTTGGGAGAAGATCCAATTGCAGCAAGGGCCTGATAGCCGGAATCTCCTGGATGAGATGTGTATGAGCTGTACAAAAAGTTACGATTGAGGACTAGTTCATTGTTCAAATTGCTGAAAATCTCTGTATTTCGAGCAGGTGCGACTGTTGGAAGAGAATCAAAGTGCACAAGCACAGCCTTGGGCGCCCTTGTTGGCCTTGCAGTGGGAACTTTTGTAGGAGTTTGAGTTGGAGCTGCAGTTGGTTGACGTGTTGGGCTTGCTGTTGGGCTGCGTGTAGGATTTGGTGTGGGTTTGGTAGTCGGGGCTCCTGTAGGCATCTTGGTTGGAGTCTCAGTGGGCACATCTGTTGGAGATGCTGTGGGAGTTGCAGTAGGACCGGAACTAGGACTGACACTTGGGTCAGTGCTTGGACTGCTGCTAGGACTGCTGCTAGGACTGCTGGATGGGGAAACACTTGGGGCTGCAGAAGGTTGTACACTTGGAGTGGAAGATGGAGCAACACTAGGAAGAATGGATGGTGAATCAGATGGCATGCTGCTGGGAATGTTAGATGGTGCGGCAGATGGAGTTGTGCTGGGACTGCCGGATGGTGCTGCTGATGGGTTAGTGCTTGGGCTGCTGGATGGTGCTGCTGATGGGCTGGTGCTTGGGCTGCTGGATGGCTTGGCAGATGGAGCTGCAGATGGAAAAGAAATTTGGTTGCAGTCATCATCAAACAGCCTGACTTCATCTCCTTCAGGATTTGGAACAATGCCACCAGGAACACCAGCACCATTTTCCATGTGACTGTCCACAGCATTCTCATTGACAGTGATTTGAATGTAGACTCCATCCTGAGTTTCCTTGCAGATAGTAACCTTGTTATTGTTTTGGTTTCTGGTAGCCGCCCTGAGGTTGCCACGTCCTTCCACAAGTTCCTGGGCCAGTGCAGGACTCCCAAGGAAAAGAAAGGCAGAGAGTATGCATGCAGCGAACTTCATTATTGGTTTCCTTCTTTGTTGATATAATATTATTGTTGTTGTTTTCAGTTTCTATTGTAGTTCTCGACAAGTTGTGAGAGCTGAGGTGGATCTCGGCTTGTCTTCACACTTACTAGCTAGTCTACCTGACCTCCCCAAGCTGCCTTGGTGGTTCCTTCATGGTTTGCTAAGTGGTGATTTGTGGTACCGGTACTAGTACGGTACCAGTAACCATGCAGCGGGAACCAAATGACCCATTTTAGACACCTGTTATACACAGGATTATTGGAGGACTACTCCTTACGCTTGACTGAGAAGACTCCCAACTCCCAACTCCCAAATCCCATAGTCTACTCGTACCAGGTACCGGTAGCAGATAACAGAAGTGCTCCACCGTTCCAGTCACTGTCGGTACATGTGGGACTGGTGGCAGTGCTATCATAGCTCCAGCAACGCTGCAAAGACTCTCCTTTTTCTTCGTACTCGAGTACGGTACAGCTTTTGCACTGGTCGACAATTATAACTCAGGCCTTTCTCGACATGCAGATGACAGCTACACCGTCGACAACTCTCGCCCTCAAGACGTCGACCTAGCTATCAAGTATCGATCTACGCAGATGGTTGCCCATCGGGACTATCATGATACAGCATTCAGCATAATATATATGTACCGGTATCGCTATACACGTAGGTGAGTGCTCCGAGCAGGACTCAATTGTACTGTAGCCTTTACGATTGCAGCCAAAACTATACTAGCTAGTAGGCTTTATCTGAGTTGGCTGCGGATTTCTTCTAAATCCCATGCGCTGCATACGAATAAAACCATCAGCATCATGTGCCGGTAGCTATACCGGTTCTGATACCGGTACTAACTAAAATACTGGCTGCTTCGGATCACCCTCAAACCTGCCTACTGTACCGTCACTGGTAGCTCTGAAGGTTACTCTACCAGAGAGTTGATGCCTCCAACGGATCATAGGCGAAGACTAACCCAGGCAAGCAATATTGCCAGCAACGCTGCGTTCACACCAATCTAATTACGAAGACCCAAGCCGAGAACTGGTGTCTGGTTTCTTCCGGTACGATGTACCGTAGGGACAGCGCAGGTGAAGCGCAACACTAGCTAGCCCAGCCAAGCAACAACTCGAGATTGCTTGAGTAGCCTGCCTTCGGAGAGAGAGCGCGATCTTTGCGCAAGCAACCTGGGATGAAGCGATGAAGCGATGGACAGAGACAAGGAATGAGCGTCGCAAGATGAAAATTGTTTGCCCACTCCTGGTTCTAGCTAGACCTGACGTTCACAACATTTCGTCTTACAGCTGGTCTCCTCTGCCGAACCTCATCAGGACCATGGATAGGCTAAGCAAGGCTCAGTGCTGCGTCAATGGAAGGTTCCACTCCACTCCAAAACAAAAGCAAAGCAGAACAAGGATGCTCAGCCGAGAAAAAGATGGAAAAGAATTGGTAGGTTTTGGTTGACTCATCAATTTAGTTTCTTTTTATTATTTTGTTTGTAGGCTCCAGCCATCCCAAGTCACCGTAACACGGGATGCCCTGCCTGCGATATTCGTTTTTCAAGCGCCTCCTTGATCGATCCATGCGACACAAGCACTCTTTCTTGCTCTGAAATGCATTCCTTCATTTCCATCTGTTCTTTCGTTCGTTCGTTCTTTCCTTCTAATCATGACACAATGTTATAAATATATACAGTTTAGAATCCCTTGGAGAACGGATTGTCGTTGTTGACGGCCACTGGAGCCTGGTACGAGTTCAACCTTTCGTACGTTCCCTTGTTGAGTGTCGAAACCTGAGGAGGCTTGGTACCATCGGGGGCTTCTCCTGTGCTGGGGTACTGTTGGTCTGCGACAGACAGAGGATTGCTAGGGGTGTTGGCGGGGTCGGGGTAAATTGGCCTGTCGAGTTCGTGGTGGTGACCATTCAAGCGCTCATACGTTCCCTTGTTCAGGGTAGAGAGTTGAGGGGGTTTGGTGCCATCAGGAGCTTGATCAGAGCCAGGGGCGTTGGCTCCATAATCGTGGGTTCGCAGAGGGTTAGAGTCTGTACCTGCGGGATCAGGGAAGAAAGGTCCCAATGCAGTGCTTTTCCTCACGGGAGCTGGAGCCATAAAGGCACCGGTAAGAGGCAAAAGGGCGGTAGCAAACAGAGCAAACTTCATGGTGGATTATATTGATGAAAAATTAATTGAATTGATATACCGCTTCGATGACTCTTGATAGGTTAATTGTGTGTCTCTTTGTCCGTTTTGATCTGCTTCTGATGGCGGCGTTGCTTTTTCTTCGTCAAACGTCATTGCTTCAACAGATCAATCGCCCCATTTCGGCCACGTCGTCTCGATAATGCTTCCTCATTGGTCAAAGATCTTTCTTGCCGATGAGGTCATCCCTTATTCCTAACCCTCCTGACGGAAACCACCACATCATGACTTCGTCACAGCTGCGGACAAGTCCATCACTTTAGAAGCCGCACTCTCCTATCTATCTGCCGGTGAGATAGCTACCCGCCCAGCAACTATGGTAGCTAGCTATGAGGGATCGTGTAGCTTGATTGAAAAGAACTATAGAGTGGTCGGGAACGGCTGCCAGGAAAGGCCACCGGTAGCTCTTTGAGTACTAGCTAGCTAGTACAGGTTGGGACAATTTCAAAACTTTTACCATGTCAGAAAAGGATTCACTCAGGGGTTGAAAGACAATGCTACTGAGTTGCTGTGCAATTACATTGACTGCAGGTGCAATCCACTGAATCACAATCAACTCGGATCTGCAACAAGTCTGGGTTGGAACAAAGACTGCTTGGCACCATTCCCGATAAATTGCTGTCATGCAAGGCCAAAAGAGTCAATGATGTCAGCAACCCCAGCTCCGATGGAATATCACCTGATATTGAAGTGAAACTGATGTTCAAGGCACCCAAGGCTGTCATTAATCCAAGTTCAGTAGGAAGGCTGCCCGACATCCTCCGGTTGTCAGACAAGGTCAGACGCGACAAAGCTGTCATCAAGCCAAACTCGGAAGGGACTGCTCCGGACAACATGTTCATTGCCAAAGCCAAATCTTGAAGCTCGGACAGCTGAGTCAACTCTACCGGAACTGTTCCTGAAAATTTGTTGTTATGAAGATAGAGCCTTTGAAGTCCTGACAGTGATCCAAGCTCAGTTGGAAGGCTGCCTGAAATCCGGTTCGTCTCCAAGCTCAAGTGTGTCAGTAACGTAAACAAACCAAACTCAGAAGGAACGTTTCCCACCAAAACGTTGCGTGCCAATAACAGGACTTGAAGCTGCTGCAGCTGAGTCAACTCTACGGGAATTGTTCCCTTGAGTTCTCTTTGCCTATACAGCCAGAGTTCCTGAAGTTGGGTCATTCTTTGGATTTCCGGAGGTATGGTACCAGTAATCCAATTCGATCCCAATAGCAAGGATTGGACATTGGTCCAATTAAAGAGCTCTGGCGGGAGGGTTCCTTGGAGTTGGCAATCATTGCAGGCAATCTTTGTTAGGTTCGGAAAGGACTCGGATAAACTTGGTGGTAGCCAACTCAATATGAGTTCCTTTTGGTGATTATGCGACAATTCCAATGCTTCCAAATGACGGATCAATGAGAGCTCTGGTGGGATGGATCCACGAAAAACAACAATGTCTCTGTCCACGGCTCTTCCCACAACAATTCGCCTGACACGACCAGCATCATCGCAATGAATGTGTATTTTGTTAACATTCTCACCCCATTCACACTCCTCTATTTCATAGTTCAGCCATGTCCAAAAGCGTGGGGCACCGAATGCATGGAAACATGTAGCCAAAGCAAATCTCTGTTCCCGTCGCCAGGTTTCGTACCGTCGGAGGTGGGGATCAGATGTCAACCATTCGAATGCTTTGAATTGGGGTGACGATGGATCGGACGAAATCAATTCAAAGGTAGAATTGTCTGCATTGGGGAGAAGCACCTCAAAATCTAGGTCACTTTCCATTGTTGGAGGTTGCGTTGGTACTTGTGTGGGCACTGGATCGGAAGTTTCACCTTGCGTTGAATTATCGATTGTGGTAGCTTCCAGAGCTGGATCATCTTTCTGTCCACCTCCACTAACAGCCAGCGGAATGGCAATAACCAGAATCACCAACAATACTAGTAGCAACAATAATACCCTGATCAACATCATTTTCTTCTTTCTTTCATTTGTGTCATCAGCTTCAGTTCCATCCGGATTCTGCCCAGCCACCCACTGCACATCAGCGGTCAGTACGGCTCCTGCTTGCCCTGCTTCTTCTTGCAGCTCTTGTTGGTTAGAGGATCCATGTTCCACAGAGCCTGGTGGTAGCCCTCCTTGTTCGGCAGTTTCCTGAGAGGACATGATGTCTAATATGCTGCTAAGCGTTAGTACACATAGTTTAGATCTACATGTGCATGTACATGTACATGATCGGTTGGGGTGGGGGCTACTGGTACTAGCTAGTAGCTAGCTAGTATGGCTGTAATATGGTAGTAGTTCTCGAACAAGGGTGCAAGTTGACGACAGCGCATTGACGAGGTCTAAATTATTGAAACTTGCGTGGAAAAGATCCAAGAAGACGTGAAACGCCCACCTTCCCAGACAGGGAATGAAGAGATTCTACAGAACGGAGAGTATGAGTTAACAGGGAGCCGACCATAAGGGAGACTGACGGACAGGAATCCGGGAGAGCCACTCATTGAGGTGGTGGACCGAAGTGTCGGGTGCACAGGTGGTGTGCCTATGTGGTGTTGATGACTAGCTAGAAGGACTACTAATCGGGCAGCTACAAATCAGGTTCACTTTTTCTGAACCAGAGTTGCAGCCGCCCGACACCAATTTTCCTTTTTGACTGGGGGTAATTAGTGTGAGCGTCCGCAACCTGAAAAAGTATTCTGCTGCCCGACAGTGACCGCCTCCTCGCCAAACCTTACTCTGAAGAAAAGTAAGCATGGACTTAGAGTTTGATGACGCCAGCGGCGGGTCACACAGTGTGACTTCCTTAGGTCCGGTGTCGAGATGGCGCGTTTTGCACACCGGCCGGTGGTTCAAGGAGATGTTTGGTCGAGCCCGATCGTCTGAAAGACCGTCTATTTTGTTTCAGTGACTCGTGGTAATCGTGTAACCGACCCGGTCACCGAGGAGCTACTCGGCCCAACAGGTGGGGTATCTCCTTTGAAGGGGTGCTTAGACGCAATGAAATACTTTGACGGAATCCGCTATTACCGACCTACGCCTTGTCCCCCCAAAACGGCCGCTCTCTTCAAGCCAAAGAACGAGCTGAGGACGAAGCCGCGCTCCATGAAGGACCCGCCGAACGCTCTCCCGGGATCACGGTGGAAACCGTGAACATGGGATCGCCTGACGCCAAACGAGATTTTTCGAGTGGAAGCACCCAGGGACGTGGAGGGTCGATCTCCTTCGAAGGCGAAGAAGCCCCCCGCCGGCCGGACTTCTCAGAAGATCTCGAGCGTCCGAACCGGCGGAGTCTTTCAGCACCCCCACGCCGGGTCATCAGAAAGATCGCTGCCCCCAAGAAAAAAGCCATCACGAAAGGGCTCGCTGAACGACGGCAAGAGAGAGCCCGAACGTTAAGCTACGGAGCTGGCGCCTCGAGAAACGAACAAACGGAGCTAAGGAGGAAGTGCCAAGAAAGAAAGGCGCCTGCGCAAAGCAAGACAGAGAGCTAACGAAATTCGTAGCACGCAGAATAGCCGTCCAGGCTCTACGGAACGCAGCCGGAGCACGTAGGCGCTGAGGCCCAATAAGCAGGAACAGGTCAGCGCGTTGACAAGCCCTGGCCGCCAAGGTCGCCAGGAAGGACTCCGAGATAGGCACCCGGGGACAGGCGACGGTAGGCTCCGCCGACACCAGCTTCTCCCCTGGAGAACCATCCAGTCCAACCAGCCGTTTTGGTACGGGTATGTGAACGGGCAATGGAGCATACGGAGTGGTCTAACGAACAGCGCAAGATGCTCGCCATTCGCCAGCGATAGGATTCTTGCCTGTGCCCGCCGCACGGCTGCCGAAGCCTGGGAGTGGGTGAGTGCCGAACTCGCCCATTACAGCTGACAACGCCCCGGCCCCCGACGAGATCCGGCGATGGGAAGTCCCTGAGCCCGCCAATAGTCGAGTGGTACGCAATCCAGCCGGCCCACCCACCATGCTCGCCGGAAAGGACCCGTCTACCAAGGACAAGGATGCGATCTACAACATCCCCATCAAGGAGGGCACGGCAGTTCTCGCGAAAGGTTTGGCCCCAGAAGGAATCAGTCCGCGAACGGCCAAAACATTGGGCAACACCATGCTAGATGTATTGTCCCTACCAGGTAAGACACAGACCGGTGAACGCGACGATGTAACCAGCGAAATCAGAGATTCTCTCTTCGCCGCCGTCAGTCGCCAAACTGTCGACGACGAGGAGGTGCCCCCGACCTCAAGTGGCAGCAGCCTTCCAGAAACTCAGTCTCAGCCTGCAAGAACGACGAAGACCTACGGGAACTCAAGCGAGATGTGGAAGAAGTGGAGGAACAACACCTTTGCCGGTCCATCGAGCAACAACGCACCATCCTCGTCAGGAACGACTACCCTCTGAGCCTCGCCGACACCTGGAGTAGCGAGGGATTTATGGCCACACTCAACCGCAAGGGAATCAAGTATTACAAAGCCTTCCTTGACCATCTCATTCAGCTGTCGTCCGGCCAAGGATGGAACGCCACCACCCGGTCATCGAATACTATGTAAGAAGTGGCGCATCATTCGGGCCAATTGCCATTCCCGGCTCCTAGCCCTATGCCAACTTTATGTCACCCTCCGCGATGGATATGAAAGCGACTGGCTGCACCTCAAGCTCACGGACAAGAAAGTGAACTCCCTGCTCACGCAGACTGGAGGAGCAGAAGGTGCCCGGAACGGAGGAGCTGTCCCTCGCGGAATCGCCCTCTGCCAGAAGTGCGAGACTATCCTCCACGGCGGGACCGGCTGCCCCTGGACAGCCCTACGTGGAAATGCGGCAAAACAGGCAGGCAAGGAAGCCCTACGTTGTTTGGCAGCTGGTGAAGCAGCACCTCCGCCCGAATAAGGAAGACAACGCCACCTTACCGCAGAGCCCGTAGGGTCCCAGAAATACTATATATGTTCAAGAAAGAAGTCTTCAAGTTACGAACCGACGCGCGACGGTCCACAAGCACTGAGCTGACTACAACAAGTGACGACCGAAGATCCACAACTTAACGTCAGCAATGAGCTCTGGGTCCAGCCGAGATGACAATTTTGAAGGGGGACAGAACGCAATCTGACAAGTTCGCTAATCAATTAACCACCCGTTATGTTATTAATGCCTTTCTCGTTGTCGTTCTACACCACAGAGGCGAGTCAGAACGATGAGCGAGCAGAGGTTACCTCTGTGCTTCCCCGCGCATCCTTCCACCCCTCCTCAAGAGGAACAAAATCCGGTATGGAACCATCGGGCACGGCCTGGATTTGGCCCGTTTGGTTGGGCAGGAAAAACCACGTTTTCTCAGCCAGGACATCGATATACAGTCACCGCTTCTAAGCGGCCCAAGACCAAGGAAGTCAAGCACCTCCAACGTCAGAAGAAGACCTTCCTCAACTCCACAAAGACTAGACGCTATTACTAGTGGACGAAGGCTGCGGCACAACAACGCAAGGAGGTTCTGGACGCAGTTAAAACACTGTCAGGATACCGGGAAGCCAAAGTCGATCATCTTCGCTGGTCCGGTGAGCCGAGGATACGACACCCAAGACGCCCTATGGCGGAAAGGACGCCGCAAAGACCTTGAACGGATGGGCTACGTCGGGCAGGAATGGTACCTAGGAGGACACAACCAAGGAGGCGCTGTGGTACAGGAACGCCTCATGGAAGTCTTCAGCCTGACCTCCCTAGGAAAGAACCTGCCAATGACGCCAACACACCAAGGGCTCCCCCCCAGGGAAATGAGCAACTTACTCTTACCCATTGGATATCCCGATCGAGATCGAGCCAAACTTCGTCAGATCTCCAAGCTCCCAAGCCCCACCACCTACCAAGAACACTACCAGCTCTATGGACATGTCCAGAACCTACCCATCTACGACGGAACCGGGTGCATGCCCGACAGCGTCGGGCGATGGGTGTTTGATGGGAGTCGGGTCCGGAAGCTACAGCTAGACGAGTTGGCCAAGGGCAAAGGAGTCCCTGGGGAATGGCGCGACAAGTCCCTGGAGTTGCCCTACAAGGCCGTGGTGGGAGCCACCGCCGTACACATCTGGACCGTGGTCTGCGACGCTGTGGCCGGGTGGCTCA